AACTCGAATATAAATGAGGAACACACTCTGAAATATTGAGATGTGTTGCTTTGAGTATTTACTGTGATGGAAATGAACCTTTTTCTGTTTCTCTTGTGATCTGTTCGATGCCAATGGAAAGAAAACTGTCCACCTAAGCTAGATGTGATTAGTAAAGAAAATGAATTATGTTTTTGTTGTTTTGTTATTTAGGACCATTTACAGTAAAAGAAAGACAAATGTAGCTCATACTGCATGCTTAGCTAAGAGGTTGTATTTGGATGTTTCTTTTGTCATGCAGTTCCACCTCTGTATTTCAGATGTATTCTTTTATGCATTATGAGGCATTTCTGGCTTATTTTCAACCTATTTTGAACAGTATTATTTTTTTTGTTTGTTTTTGCTCTTTTTTAAATTATTTTTACAAGAATTTCGCTTTTTCTTCATTTATAGATTTTCTCAAATACATCCCGAGAGCAGTTGTTGTTGCTTTCAAAAAATAGCTATACTGGGGACACACAAAGAACTTAGTGCTTGTTCCTGAGATGTCAACTATTTCTTCAGTATGAAACAGACTGAACAAGATGAATATACATTATATAGAGGCAGCTATGTGAGATAACAGCATTGATCTCTGGAAGGTTAATCCTTCCATGAAAAGCTAGAAATACAAATGAGCAAAATATATAGATTTTGTTACCCATCAAATTGGAATTACTTTTGTTTCATGACAGACTTAAGAAACTGTGAATCATGTGTGTCAACTTCAGGAATATTCTTGAGACTTGAGACTCAAGACCAATTTGCAAATGTGAATACATTTAAGCTCTCCATTAAACCTCAGCTTTCAAAGGAATTCACTAAAAAAGTGTCTGTTGTCAGTGCCTTGCTCAATGGCACCTCTGCAGTGCTCAGGAAGTGATCTGGCACCTCTCCAGGTGCCATATCAATTTCCAGATTTGGTCCGCACCGGGATTTGAACCAGCGACCCTCCGGTTCCCAACCTAAGTACCCCAACCCCCATGTAGTCAACATAGACCATTTGAACATAACAGGCATTACCTTGATGTTTGTTTATTCCTCTGAAAGACAGAAAAGAGTGACAGAGATTTGCTTGATCTGCATGTTAAAATGTCAGGGCTATTTCAAATGTACGTGTTGTGACCATTGTTTGGGAGGATATGTGTGAATGACATAAACCACTGTCTCTGTCATATACTTGAACCTGTTATGTTTCAGAAGGTGGCTGAAGAAGGTGTTTATCTGTCACCTGCCCACAGCTCCAAACAACGGCAATGTTCAGCTGTTTATTGGTTTATCTGGATCCCCATTAGCCAATACACCTAAGTAGCAACTACTCTTCCATGAGTCCACTCGTACAAACAAAAAATTAAAATCCACACACATTTCATTATTAAAAATCCAAGAAGAACAGAAAAACAGAAAAACATAAATAAAACGTAAAACAACAGTAATGAAAACACATGCAAGAAAATCAATCAAATCAAGAAGAGCAAGATGAATCTATTATAAACCATAAAGGTCATCTCTCATGGGCCCACTTTATATCAATGCAATAAATAAAATACAGTTCTGGACAAATCTTATAATTATTGTATTTTTTGTTTTATACAATGACAACGTTTAGCTGTAGAGATGCATTCATTCAAAAATACATTTTTACCAAACCAACAAACTTGGAAACCGAAAAATGTCCTTCTATCCACCCTGCCTCATATATGTCTGCCTGTCTCTGTAACACAGATTATGACATTAAATAAATCATCTCCATATCTACTGATGATATTCAGTGTATTTTATTGATGATTACTCAATATTATACAGGTTTTTTTAAATTGTTGAACCAACATTTTCCAATCCTAAATTGATAAGTCTTTTTTATTTCTCAATTTTTTCCCATATTTAACAGATTTTGGGGGGCTCTGTGTGGCTTGTATAACCTGGACTGGAACATTTTTCAAAAGATCTTATAAATATAAATCAAATAAATATTGGATGTTTTTAGGGCTGTCAAATGATATTTTTTGTAATAGCGATACATCGCAAAATGTCAATAGTTAATCATCTGTCTTAAGCTGAGAGTAGGCTACTTACGTTGTTGTTTGAATTCAACCCTGCTTTTATTTTGAAATAAAGTAAGGACCTTCTAGTAGATTGAAGGTTACGACAGTAACTTAACCACTGTAAAAGGAACTCATTACGGATAAAAAATTAAAGGAAAACAGATCAAAGGATGTTTAAAAACTGAACTGTCTGTTTTTGAGTCTTCAACTGAGTTGTCTGGAGTTGTTTTTTAAAGTGAAATGAGACATTCAAAGATGTGGCAGTGTCCTTTTCCATCACTGTGACTACAGGGAGACACTGTGGACACCATTGAAAATTAATGTATTAATTTAGACCTTAGTTAATTGTGATCAACTTGTTAATACTGACAGTCGTAGTTTTCTACGGCTGTGTTATTTTTATATGTTACACTTTTATTCTGTTAAATATATTTTAGTAATAGTTTTGGCAAATGTACATGTTTCGTTTGAATATTTTTTGGGATATAACTTTGATGTCTTATTCTACCATTCATGAAATGTGCATATTGCATTGTTTTACCAATAATATTTTGTACAAAGGCTGTTTTTGGAACATTTAACTAACAGTTTTTTGGTATGAATCACAAACCCATCAGTGACATTTACAGAAAATTCGAGAAAATCGTACAAAATAAAAGACTACAATTTTGGCAAATTGTTAAACAAATTCTTTATTTCGGTTTTTTGTTTTGAGGAAATTTGTGTGTAAATTTAAGACTTCCAAAAGAAAAAAATTAAATTATTTTTATATTCTTGACTTGTGGGTTATTACCAGTAGATTTTTTCTTAATAAAAGTTAGTGATTTAATCATGTAAAATAGTATAAAAAAAGTCACTGGAAAGAAATGAAAAACTTATCAAGCCTCTCAAACATTCAGAGTTTATTATTATTATTATTATTATTATTATTTTAATTTATTATTATTATGCCTAAAACCTGATAGGCAATGATAGAAATGAGTACCCGAGCATTGAAATTAGATAGAAGTACAAGGTGAAGTATGCATCCACCAGGAAAAAAACAACTAATTGTAACAAAAGATCAATAAACGACTGCAAAGGTTCACAGTCAGTTCAAGAGTGTACCTGCTGTTGTGAATTTTAACCAATCTACTTCACGGTCCTCCTTTTACTCAAATGCACTTTTCTTCTTCATCATTTCCAACTCAGAGGTCATGTTGCAGTTTGGCAGTAATCATGGACTGCACAAGTAGTAAGAAGAAGAAAAGGTTTGGGCTGTTTTTGGAGCTTTGCCAGTTTTCATGCTTATGCAAAGATTTGCAGATAGTGGGTGTGATTTCAAGTGCTTCAAAACAGTTATTCCATTTGGTATATTCATCATGCTTTAGACACTGAGAACAAACGGCCCTTCAAAACTCTAAGCCTGCCTTGGAGGGTTTCTGCTGCTTGTGAATCATGTAATAAAAACAAGTCCTGCTGTTTGACCTAAGGGCCTTATTCATAAAGGACTTAATCTTCCCACCAAAGGCCCTGCTTTAAGTTCTTAGCCAAGAGTTTTCTCATAAGAGCTGCTACAAAAGCAGTAAGAGAAAGTCTGTAAGGAAATAAACTTTAAAGAGATCGAACAGTTCCTCACTGATGTCTGCAGTGATTTGTAAACAGCTCTATGTCTGTGAAAGTTTTTCATATCTCTCATAAGATGAGGCCTTTTACCTGCTATGTGACCATGAGACTTAGGAGTCCTCTGAACATCCTCAGACTTATTCAAGGACCTACTTTAGAAAAATGAGCTTTTCTGAATAGACTCCTATACCTAAATCTAAAGAGTCTTACAATTTGTACAAACATATCTCTTTTTTTTCTTATAGTTTCTCCAAAGTCAGTCAGTGTGTTTTACGAGTACAGTTACAGAGCTGCTTTAATGTGTTTCTAATGCCTCAGTGAAGGCAAAATGGCCTAATTCTGCTCTGTAATGCCTCTATATGACCTACTCAAGCAAACAAGAACATTAGCCACAAGATTGATTATTTACATGAAGTTATTTTTAATCCGTTTAAAAACTGCCACTGTATAGGTGTCAGATGAAGTGATTTACAACACACTGCATAACCCTAGTTTACGGGGTGGCCGGTAGCCTACTAGTAGTTGGTGTGCGAACCCCATGTGTGGACGCTGTGGTCATCCGGGTGGGCGGCCTGGGTTTGGGATCAGGCCTGCTGCGCCATTCCTGCATGTCGTTTCCCGGAACGAGATGAAGAGTGACCACTTTGTCCTGTCAAACAGCAACAGCAAATTACTAAGGAGGAGCTTCAAGAAAAATATATGAATAAATAATAATGTATTTTATATCACAGTATAATAAGGGACGTTTATTGTGTTAATCATGTTGTTTCAGATGGTAGAAATAGAGTTGACGTCACTTACTTCTGTCTCTTAATCCATGATAATTATTAGAGTTAACAAGTTGATTACTATTTGTTTGGACAATATGAATCTGGTAAGAGACTATTGTTGTCCAATACATTTCGTGGTGTGAAAAATACAGTATTGAATTCCAGATTGTAGTTTCGTGGAAGTATAACGAAGCAGACAATGAAAACAAATGAGGCACAATTGTACTACCATGATAAGGCCAACATTTTGTCAAGTAAAATCTCGATACTTCATAACCAAAAAAATGTTGAAAGTTCAATTCAGCATAATTATTTAATTGTAGTAAAGAACTGAGAAACATATTTAGGAAAACTATGGTAGGCTACCGATACAACAAGGCGTAAAAGTGTATTCAAAAAATACTTTGCTGGCTCCGAAGGAACATGTCATAAACACTCATATGCCGCCCTCTTGTGGCTAAATAGAGGTAGAGCAGGGACTAGCAACGTTGAGTAGGCCCTCAAGCCCCTCCCACCATCCAACATGCAATTGGTCAGCGCTTTCCATAGAAACCAGACGATTGGACAGAATTATCTTTACGCTCCCGGAACAAAAACGTGCATTTGAAAATATTGTGTAAGTGTCCGCCAGCGCTCACTCAACCATCCGAACAGTAAGTGTGAAGCCACACAAACAGAATGTTTATTGAAATGAAACATGAGACTGTGAAGTAAATATGCACGACAAGAAACACGATTTAACGTGAGATTTTACTTTACACTGTCTGCAGTAATGCCGACGTCCCCTGTTAAAACGCGGATCCCCCTCACCAGCTTCGGTCACCTCATAACAGAGGTGAAGGTAAGAACAGGGTTTGTTTTAAATGCATGTCCACCATTCAGAGGAGGGAGAAGTAGTACATTGTGTCCGTTTTGGTACTGAAAAGTATTTATGTTATTATGAGTAACAAGGATTTCATTGCATTTTTATATTGTGTTTTATCATCTAGGCTATAATCAACCTACAATTTGTTTCCTCAACAGTGTTTTAATCCAAATAAGCTATTTTACAGTATCACTTATGTCTCTACTTATTTTTCTCAATGAAGTTAGAAATGAAACGGACTTCCAGGATATCTTAGATAATTTATCTTAATTTAGCCTATATAATAATTATATGAGATGAGATAAGATGAGTCGTTATTGACCTTTAGCAGTAAAATAACCAGTTGGGAGGGCAGATTAACAAACGATTATATAATTAAAATAGGCAACCAAGTAAGACAAAAGTAAGGACATTCAAACCTGGATAAACATGAAATATGTGATTCTGATCATTAGAAACTAGCCATGCAAATCAAATCTAAAAAATAATAACAATACAATAAACACATAAGATGGGTTGTTTCTGGTAAATGTGTGATTGTTTTAAGCACATTATAATGGTTGAGCAATAGAGATTAAGAGAAATGTATTTTTCAAACCAGTATTACAACTTAAGTGGTTGGTGTCAGCAGACCCTGAAGTGTGTGACGGCACATTTTCTTTGGGCGCGCTACCCACACGCTTAGCTGTGCTGCTCATTCCACGAATGCAGGATCCTAACAAGTTGGAAAGGTGACTAATCAGGCTACAGGCTACAGGCTAATATCCTAACAGTAGCTTTCTACTCACTGTACAAAAAGGAGAACATTATGGGGGCGCTGGTGGCGCAGTGGTTAGTGCGCGTGCCCCCATGTGTGGAGGCTGTGGTCCTCAGGACGGGCGGCCCGGGTTCGAGTCCGGAGTCCGGCCTGTGGCTCCTTTCCTGCATGTCACTCCCTACTCTCTCTCCCTGATTTCTGGCTAGATCCACTGTCCTGTCTCTCCCTTAAAGGCAAAAAAAACCAAAAAATATTATAACATTATAATGCACCTAAATGCAGGACAGTGCCAAAATGTGGAACAACTTTAAACAGTACAAGCACATGTTATTTAATAGCTTGAAAGCATATCATCTGAACTTTTTTTTTTTTTTGACAAGACTTATTTTTAGCTGAATATGAAAATGTGTTCAGCATCACAAAAACTGAATTTTCCCAGGGTTTCATGTTATTGAGCGGAAGATTATGCAGGGAATTTAACAGTTTGGCTAGTAACGTCTATGCATTAAAGGAAAAACTCCAGAAAAGGGAATAACAGCTTTAAGCTTTTGTCAGAAATCCCAAGGCAGACACAAAGTGGAGAGTCTGTGCAGAATGAGCTCAGCCCTGCCAGCCAGTCCTGATGATTTGCTGGAGTTTTAGCTGATGAATAATTCACTTTCATCTAATTCAACGGGTGTGTTAAATGTGACTCGCATGGCTTTAAATCATTTCATCGTGCCAGCCAAAAAACAAAAGCCTCTTTGTACATGCAGCTTCTTTTGGATGTTTTGGTCTCAACTGTCACGTACTCTTCCAAAGACATTAATCAAATCCTCAGACTGCGTTTGTGTCTTATCTCAGCTATAACAGTAGTCCCTCTGAACATTTAGCGTTTCACTTTCATTATGACTGCGCAGCTCTTATATTGCTTTACATGGGTGTGTGCAAGTCAAATAAATATCACATTGCCTCTGCACAGGAAAATGTTTTTATGATTGTATCTGTCACTCATCCATTACAAAGTCACTCAGGGTGACCTGGTTTATACAGCAAACATTTTCTCCTGATTCTGATGACATGCTCTGGGTGGGAAACCTAAATGACATTATAATGTCACCCTGCTGGGCTTCGAGTTGTAAGAATTTAGAGCATCTGACAAATCTGTATCATTTCACTTCTTTAAATTGACCTGCGACAGAATAGACAGTCGATAGTGAAAATCTGGGAGGACAAAAAAAAAAAGTGAAATACAAGGCCGGCTGAAACAACTCGGGTTCAGTGTAGAGCTAATTCAAAAGAACATTGTCATAAGTTATTTTCAAGCAATGCTGCCAACTTCTTCAATATGTTGGCATTTCTCTTTCAATTTTGTTTGTAAGCTAAATAATCTTTTTTTTTTTTTTGACAATTAGACAGAAGATGCAAGTTAAGAGTCATAGATCCCCCCCCCCCGCCATTTTTTTTGTCCTTTTTCAACATAAATTCAAAATCTCAAAATCATGAAAACAATGTTGCAGTCTGTCAGTTGCTTTTGGTTTTGTGGTTAATTGATTTTTCTTCCATTGTCATGTGTGTGTTGTTATGTGGTACTTTTTCTCCATGTAACAGTTGTTCTTGTCTTTAATTTAACTTTTAGATAGTTTACAAAGATAGGTTTTTTTCTGACGATGGCATTAGTTTGTTTTTCATCTTGTAAAAAAAAAAACTACACTTTGATTTTAGTGTTTAAAATGTGAAGCGTTATTGCTGCAGCATTTCCTCTTACTGGTGGTGGTGTGTGTGTGTGTGTGTGTGTGTGTGTGTGTGTGTGTGTGTGTGTGTGTGTGTGTGTGTGTGTGGGTGTGTGGGTTTCAGAAGCAGCTGTTTGGCATTGAGACTCCAACTTCTGTGGAACTGACGGGTTTGAGGAAATACTTCAATAGCTACACACTGCAGGGACGCCGAAATGTAAACCATGCACTACATATACACGCGCAAAGCTGCAGTCGATGTGAATGATATTTTTACATTTAAAGTCCTCCTCGTACAAAAACATGTAATTCTCCTCTGTGTTACAGTGTGTGTTGGTTACCTATGGGGTCTTTGCTGTAACTGCTGCCGCCTACTTCCTGCACAGACAGAGCAAAAAAGAGAACCAGAGGTCCAACGCTTCAGCCTGAAGAATGAATGAAAATGACACGACACTACCTGTACTCTGTTAATAAATCTATTTAAATGCAGAAGACTGTCTGATCATTATTTTGTGTCATAATGGGAATTAAAAGTTGCCATGGCATCAGAAAGGGATTTTTTATTAATGTGTGTAGTAGAATGGTCCCTCCACAAGGTGTCCATGTGCAGCTGAAGAGACTGAAACCAAACTGAATTTTTATTTTTACACATTTATTTTTACTGGTTGTGAATCCGCGTTCACTTGAAAAAGACCTGCCTGATGAAGGAGGAGAAGCTAATTGTCCTAAGACTCTGCTAACTGCCTTAACACAGCTTTAAATACTAAGGTTTACAAAGTGTGCGTTTCTTTTTATTAATATATGAGCTTGTAGACATTGTACAATGTGTTGTGTTTGAGTTACAGTATCTCTGTCGATTGCTGTCTTATAAGAATTTGTTTTATCTGTAAGGCCATATAAACATAGACTCAAAGACTCCTCTGGTCTATGTGCTGTAAATAACAACATTGTGCTCCTCACAATAGGTTTAAAGTAACAATTGCAATGCTTTTTTATCAGTTTTGCCTTTTAGTATAACATGTGGAAATAACTTTGCAAATCGTTTTCTTTCTTTCTTTTTGAAGTCACTAGAATAAAATTATTCTCTGAGTACTTGTACCCATCACTTAGGCTTTAGTTTCACATTCATTTTGACTTTGCAATGTTTTGTCTTTAGTTGATGAGATGTGCATTCAAAAATGAGATGTTATTGAAATTCACCAGTCTTGCACTTTTAAAGCAGTTTGCATTTACGCGTGTTAAAACTGATGCTTTTTTTTCCAAACCACAAAAAAAGGGAATGAGCTGAAATTCCATGTGAAATACACACTAACTCAAAGGTACACAAAAAACCACACGCGCTGCTGGCACATCACGTGATTTACTCTAATGCTGTCTTCACGTGCTCCTCGGATATGTCGTATTTCCCAGTTGTGCAATCCTGGTGATGATGTTCAAGTGCTCTGGGTGAAAATAAAAGCAACAAACATGGACGATGTTACCAAGAGCAAGAATCACAGAGCTCTTTTGTCCTTCAGAATGTAGTTGACATCAAATTTGTTATATAGACATTATAATTAGCTAATATTTGCTGGCTAGGCTAGTTAGCATACTGTGTGTGTGTGTGTGTGTGTTGTCCCTGTTCCTGATGTCTCATTGGAAAAGGATTTAAGGTGTTGCCTGGTTCTGTAGGCTTTCACTCTGGATAGTAATCCCTGTATGTAACATACATTTTGATAGCTTGCTACAGCCAATGTACCCCATACAATGTAACCCATATACAAAAATGTGCAACTACTTAAAATAAATTATACTAGCTACTATAAAAAAATATAAAATATAATTCCTACAATTGATGACATAGTTTCCAATCTTTCTGCCATTTTGATGGCCTGAAACGTCACGCAAACGTCACAACTTGGGTACCATCTAAAACAGGGATGGGCAACTGGCGGCCCCGGGGGCCACATGCGGCCCCCGTCAACCCTCAAGGTGGCCCTCAGGTCAATTTTTACATATCAATTAATTTGAAAAACATGAAGAAAACATGACTAAATATGTCATGAAATCATGAAAACCAGAAATATGTCCATAATAATATTAAATCACTGGTATATGTTGAGTTACATTTGAGACATAATTGATTGTAATCGTTTTTGTATCCTACAATTTGGCCCCTCTGGCAGTGAGAATTAAAAGAATGTGGCCAGTGGTAGGCTAATATGTGCTCATAACTCGAAGATAGCGTAATCAAGATATTTCCGAGGAACACTTGAAAGCGACATTTAAAAGCGAAAGCGAAAGCCCAGCCGGTCTGTGACACCTGAGACGCCTCTTACGTTTTTTTTTCTTTTTTTTGGTATGAATGTATGTGGGGTAGGCCTGTCTCTTATCAACCAGCATCAGAATATAACCGAAAGTAAAGTTATTTGTTCAGAGGACGAGCAGCGACCGTCACCGCTGTGTGGACTCGAACAGGCGCTGGCAGCATGTAAGTGTAATCCCTTTTTCAAGTTCTCCAAGGAGCCTACGCAAGAGGTTAAAACAAAATTTTGATTAACAGTTATTCAATTTTTCTTGTGCCAATAAGGATAAAACTGCTCCTTCGTTCATTTGAATAATAAAAGGTGCAGCATTGTCATTTAGAAACAGAACCAAATAATCTTAATTAGAAGCATTTAGCCTACAGTAGGCTATAGACTATATATATATATAATATATATATATATAATAAATATCTCCCGGTCATGTCTTGGAGCAACCTGGCACAACAATGTCGTTCGAGATTAATAACGTTATCTCTTATCTTATCTTAGTTCAATTTAAATGATATGTTATTAAGAATGTTTGATGAGGCTTAATACATTCTTAATAACATATCATTTCAATTGAATTAAGATAAGATAAGAGATAGCTTTATTAATCTCGAATGACATTGTTGTGCCAGGTTGCTCCAACATTACATTTCAAAAAGAGTAACACAAAGAGCTTCAACTATAAGCGATATACAAAAAAAACATAATAGAGATGGTGCATTTTTGAACCATTTTCTTTGTTGTTGCATTTTTAAGAGATTTTTGCCCACTGTTTCTGATTTTTTTTCTTTTTCTTACAGTGCAGCCCATCAGTATTAGGACATAATGCTTTTATTGTAGAGATGTAGTTGTCTTTCAAATGTGAAACTGTTGCCTATATTTAAAATGCTGCTTGATAGAGTTATGTTCAGACTGTTAACATAGTTTGGGTCAATAACACAGGAGTCACAGACCCGTCCCAGCCTTGCTGTCCTGCAAGGCTATTCCCAACATGGATGTGTAACCCTTCAGAATAGGAATTAGTCGTATTTGCCGGATGTGTTAAAACATGCAAAGAATTGTCTCTGTTGCTCTCATAGGAACTAAAACAAGCCTGACAGGTTAGCAGGAACATTACACTAGAATGTACAGCTATATGTAGCCTATGGCGACACAAGTGAACACTATTGTAAATATACTAAACAAAATCCTTAGTTTTTTTTTACATGTAAAGCTGAGAAAGATTAGTACAACATCCTGTAGAATAATTCATGTCTTTCAGAGATAGGAAACCAAACCAGTTTGCAAGATTTGGAATAACTTTTGATGGAGCTATTGTCCAAGTCTTTTTATTTTTTTTCAGTGTAGAGCTAATTCAAAAGAACATTGTCATAAGTTATTTTCAAGCAATGCTGCCAACTTCTTCAATATGTTGGCATTTCTCTTTCAATTTTGTTTGTAAGCTAAATAATCCATGTTTTTCTTTTTTTTTGACAATTAGACAGAAGATGCAAGTTAAGAGTCATACATTTTTGTTTAGGAACGTCAACAACTTTTAAACTCTGTTTCTCCATCCACTTTGCATCATTTGAGCAAATAGTTAAAGTCAAACAAAAGACACTCTAGGTTTTAAAAAAGAGAAGTAAAATAATGTACAGCAGAAAAATATATAGATTTTTTACAAGTCTATTTTCTTACATAAGCAAGTAAAGATCTGTTGTAATGCAAATACATTGAATACTAACCACAATACCTAAATGTAGGCTACTTGCATGCTTATACATATCATGTTTAAGTATCAGTTTCTCAAGTTGTATTTTATTCTTTCATTGTATGGAAGAAAAAGGTTCTGTGTTTTAGGGTTTTTTTATGTTAATGTCTTTTTTGACTTTCCCGGATTTTAATAAGTAACATGTTTTTTACTCACATTACTGCATTTGTAAACACACGTTTTAACACAATTTAACAACGTAAAGGGAAATCTTCAGATTATTTCATACTCTTGTGTTTTGTGGTTGAGTGAGAAAGTGAAAGCATTCCTCTCAGAAATCAAGTTACATCCGCCCTTCCCAGTAACAAACTCTTTATGGTTAGTCACCTGATCTCTTCCTCTCACACACACACACACACACACACACACACACACACACACACACACACACACACACACACACACACACACACACACAAACACCACACGCACACACTCGATTACAAGTTGCAACAGTGTGCAGTTAAATCATAGAGCTATAACTTATACTTAAATACTATGTATAAAATGAAAGGGTTCCTTGAAGTCCATTCCACAAATCCTCAAAGGATGGAAATTGATAAGATTTAATCGACAGCATGCTATTATCAGTTGTAATCATTATAACCTGTTTATACTCTACAATGATGACACAATCATTTTTTAATAGATTTCCTTATTGTTTTATGATCATTTCTCTAGATGGAAAAGGAGACCTACTCTGGTGTTATGTTTCTTTAAGTCTGATCACAGTTTTGAACAAATGAACACATGTATGTTTAAGAATTTCTCATGAAATCTTCCTTTTACATACATACCAACAACTGCTGTCAAATGTTTCTGTAAAATGAAACCATGCTTTTGACTGTCCTGTGTTCTAGTTGCAAGTTTCTAGCTCTGAGATTGATTAAAGGAAATGATTAACTCGGAGGCATGTGATAACAAAAGCTTTGAAACTGGTTCTCATATCTCATTAATCAGCATCTGATTTTAATAGATTTTAATGTGACTTTTAAAGTTTCTGTTTCTGGCTCTTTAACACTTAAATGACCGGCTTAGCATGAAAGACCAGACTGACACAGGAACCGACACACTATTAAACAAAGTGGAGCGTTTAGCTGCTCATTTGTCTGTTCATGTCATTATTTAAAGAGACAGAACACTTTGCAAATAAAACTAAAACAAGGTTTAAAGGAGCACTATGTAGATTTGGTAGTGATATATGAAAGTTGGAGAAGTGTAACAATTCTGTGCTATATTTTCTGAACTAAATCCACAAACTTTATTCAAAGGAAAATGTGGTTCCCTGGAACACTGTTTGGAGCTAAAAAGGCTACCAGGAGAGTTACGGTTTCACTGTTGCGGCCCCCTCCATAACTTTGTGCGTTGCATTGTATCTATCAACCAAATTGTCCTCTGAGGACAGTTTGTGTATAGAGTTATAAACATTTATCACAGAATCTGTAAAC